GGAATCAACTATCGGTGCCGATTAATCGGCAAAACCGATACATCGGTCGACCTCTAATGTATATACGTCAACTGTTTGTACTGTTTGATTTCTATGCCATCGGACTACATATTGCATCCTGGTTTTTTTTTAAAGATAAAGTATCTAAACCCTCTCATGGTAACCTCCAGTGTTTGCTGTAAGATGAAAAGTAAATACCACTTGCTGGCTTCCTATCAACAGTCTCCCTACTTAACCACTGTGAATATTTAAAAAGTTTGGATTTTTAATTAAGTGCTGTAGTTGTAAGGTTGTAGGTTGCTGGTAATTCCAACATTTCATTACTGTTTGATTACATGGAAACTAAAATAATGTAAACTGAAAGGTAAATACAGTATCACATCATGGTCACTGCGCTGTGTTTGGTGAAACCCAGTAATATGGAGTATTTAAATTAATACTGTCACTTCTGTATGGATCACGTGACAATGAGGAGACTGAAGCATTGTCCCTTACTGATCCCAATGGACCAAACACAGAGGAGGTAAACAGAGGAACAAGAACTCTGTGATTCTCAGGGTTCCTGTCATTTACTCCACTTTGGATCCAAGGACACAGTTACCTGTCAGTTTTTACAGTGCATTTGTGTAAAAGAATGAGGAAGTTAACTTCTCAATGAAAGTCTGTATGCATGAGAGTTGGAGTATTTCATTCATGCTATAATTTTTGGGTAACATTTAAAAATATTTTGTCACATTAAAACAAGTCCTTTTACCTGGTAGATATAGTAAACACAATTACATGATGGCTACATTACTTCTTTGATGAAAAAATAATATAAAATCAATCACCTGACACACTTTTGCAGGGATCATGTGAGAATCAAGAGATGGAGGCATCATCACCTGCTGATCACAATGAACCAAGCGCAGAGCAGGTATTACTGGGAGAGAAGAACACAGAAGTCTGAAGGATCTAAAGAGTGTAATTCTATATTTTTTGCCTACAGTCTCAAGTTTTCCAGATCTTGTTCAATCACCAAATTCCTGGGTTAGTGGTCACCAGATAATGGAGGATCTGTTACAATTCATTTTATCTAAGGACTTGAGCGACTTTACTGGGCAGCAGATAAGCTTTTTTAGGACAAGCTACACATGTATATAAGCTAACCTTCATCTACAGAGCAGCACCCTGGGAGTATATATAGTCAGTCACCTCAGGATAAAGTCAACTGTGAAGATCAATACAGGGTCCTTCATGTCATCCTATTTATTCTGAACTGAACTCTATATTATGCTGTTGTTACATGTTACCTTTCACCTCAGAATATCTGTTTTGCACACAAGCTTATATAGTTCATTTCAAGAGACATTGTTTACTTATTTTAAGGACAATCTTCTAAAACCATTTCTATGCAAATATTTACATATGATGATTATCTGACTCACCTTTGCAGTGTTGTTTGCATTGTTCAAATGTACAGTGTTATTACCAGTATTCTGAGTAAATCCAGAAACTTTCCTATGTAAGTATTTGTGTATCATATGATGATTATATGACTTACCTTTGCAGTGTTGTATGCAGTGTTGATATGTACAGTGTTATTACAAATATTCTGAATAAATCCTCCCTGCTCACAGTCCCTGCTCAGTCATATTGTGACACATTGTGTTTAAGCTTGACTGCCTGTTCCTGTAATTGCCCCTCTGCTAATTACAACAGGGTTGTCAAAATTCATGGACACCCAGTCATTGAGCAAAAATATTTTGAATGCAGTGATAATTAAAGGGGCGACATGGTGTCACAGTGGTTAGCAGTGTTGCATCATGCCTCTGAGTTCAAGTCTTTGCCATGAAAGTGACTCTTAATAGAGCAGTAAATTTTATTCTGTCCCTGTCAAGCCATTATCTTTTTATGAGCTCTGTGCTGTCCAGCGTTTCCAATGTTCCTCTGTTCCCAGAATGTGCATGCCGATGATCACCTGACTGCCCTCGTCTAGCATCTCCTAGCGGGTTAGGACAGCTCCGGAGCTCTCCTAAATCCTGCTCGACTTGGGAGTACTTTCCTTGAATATTCCTAACAGTTGGTCCAATATTGCATCACTCTGGGAATTTTGGGCCTGCTTTCCTACTCTGAGATGCTTTATAAATATGGGCACCAACCTCTTTTCTCTGCAATCGCGATGTGAAGCTGCTGGACCATGGGAAGCTCATTTCCACAATGTTTGGCAGAATCAGGAGATCCTGATTTTCCCGACTTTGACATGTCCCTGGGTCAACATGAAAGGAACTTGTATTTTACTTCTTTAACCAATCACAGTGTTTATTGTATGACATCACCACACTGGTCCATTTTTTTTCTCATTTTCAAACATGACCATTCAGGTGGGGGTGGTACATGGCTCAGTGGGCTAAGCCTCTGTACCTGTAAACCGAAGGTCAACAGTTGAAGCCTTATTATTTATTGTTGTTGTCATCATCATGAAATAAGCATGTGCCCTTACACTGCTCTGTATGGTCTTTGCAGGTAAGCATGCTCCTATGTTCTGTATCTATGACATGTCCCTTAACATACGGCATACACAATAAAACAGGCAAATCTATGCACCTTGTCACTTAACAGATACCACTGGTTT